GTTTATCTATTTTGTTTATTTTCTTGAAGAACCAGCTCCTGCTTTCACTGATTCTTTCTATTGTTTTATTCTTCTCGATTTTATTTATTTTTGCTCTAATCTTTATTATGTCTCTCCTTCTACTGACTTTGGGCCTCATTTGTTCTTCTTTTTCTAGTTTTGTTAATTGTGAGTTTAGACTGTTCATTTGGGATTGTTCTTCTTTCCTGAGGTAAGCCTGTGTTGCAATATACTTTCCTCGTAGCATTGCCTTCGCTGCATCCCACAGATTTTGCAGTGTTGAATTATTGTTGTCATTTGTCTTCATATATTTCTTGATCTCTGTTTTTATTTGGTCATTGATTGGCAATTTCAAGCATGTTTTGAAGCTTCCATGTGTTTGTGGGATTTTTAGTTTTCTCTGCATAATTAATTTCTAGTTCCATACCTTTGTGGTCTGAGAAGCTGTTTAGTACAATTTCAATCTTTTTGAATTTACTGAGGCTGTTTTTGTGGCCTAGTATGTGATCTATTCTTGAAAATGTTCCATGTGTACTTGAGAAGAATGTGTATTCTGCTCTTTTTGGGTGGAGAGTTCTGTAGATGTCTGTTAGGTCCCTCTGTTCTAGTGTGTTGTTCAATGCCTCCGTGTCCTTACTTATTTTCTGTCTGGTTGATCTGTCCTTCAGAGTGAGTGGAGTGTGTTGAAGTCTCCTAGAATGAATGTATTGCATTCTATTTCCCTTTTAATTGTGTTAGTATTTGTTTCACATGTGTAGAAGTTGCCGTGTTGGGTGCCTAGATATTTATAATGGTTATATCTCCTTGTTGGATTGACCCTTTTATTGTTATGTAATGTCCTTCTTTGTCTCTTGTGACTTTCTTTGTTTTGAAGTCTATTTTGTCTGATATAAGTACTACAACTCCTGGGTTTTTTTTTTACCTATTAGTTGCATGAGATATCTTTTTCCATCCCTTCCCTTTTAGTCTGTGTATTTCTTTGGGTTTGAAGTGAGTCTCTTGTGGGCAGTATATGGTTGGGTCTTTTTTTGTGTGTCCATTCAGTAACTCTATGTCTTTTGATTGATGCATTCAGACCATTTACATTTAAGGTGATTATCAATAGGTATGTACTTATTTCCGTTGCATGTTTTAGATTCATGGTTACCAAAGGTTCAAAGGTAACTTCCTTACTGTCTAAGAGTATTAACTTAACTCACTTAGTATGCTATTACAAACACAATCTAATGGTTCTTTTTTTCCTTCTTCATTCTGTATAAACTAGGTATCATATTTTCTGTACTCTATCTGTCTCTTGAGTGACTTTGGGGGTGGTTGATTTGATTTTGTATCTGCTTAGTAATTAATTGCTCTACTTTATTTACTGTGGTTTATTTCCTCTGGTGATAGCCATTTAGCCTTAGGAATACTTCCATCTATAGCAGTTCCTCCAAAATACACTGTGGAGATGGTTTGTGGGAGGTAAATTCTCTCAGTTTTTGCCTATCTGGAAATTGTTTAATCCATCCTTTAAATTTAAGTGATAACATTGCCAGGTCGAGTTTTCTTGGTTAGAGGCCATTCTGCTTCATTGCATTAAATATATCATGCCACTCCCTTCTGGCCTGTAAGGTTTCTGCTGAGAAGTCTGATGATAGCCTGATGGGTTTTCCTTTGTATGTGATCTTTTTTCTCTCCCTGGCTGCTTTTAATAGTCTGTCCTTATCCTTGACCTTTACCATTCTAATTATTATATGTCTTGGTGTTGTCCTCCTTGGGTCCCTTGTGTTGGGAGATGTATGCACCTCCATGGCCTGAGAGACTATCATCTCCTTCCCCAGAACTGGGGAAGTTTTCAGCAATTACCTCCTCAGTGACACTTTCTATTCCTTTTTCTCTCTCTTCTTCTTCTGGTACCCCTATTGTTGGGGATGGTTGAAACCTAAAGGGAACTGGGAGAGGACAGCTGAGGGACTGGGGTGAAATAACGGTCAAGGGATAAGGGAATTCACAAGTCCCAGTTGTTGAGTCTGAGTGTGCTGAGATAGGACCTATCCTGAGGTCAGAATATGCTTGTTTTGCAAAAAAGTATGTCAATACTCAGTCACATGCTTCTTGATCCCTGGTTAACCTGCCCTTCCTGAGTGTGTATAAAAAGAGGAAAATAAAAGCTATATGTTATGTTCCAGCTTGACTGGGCATCCTCTCAGAGTGATTTGTACATTTATTCAGCTCCGCGCCTCCCCTTCGGGACTGTTTGACTTCAACGGCAGGCACCGTCACCCTATAATGCAAATATTGTTCCATTTGGATTGGTCACACAGTTCTCTCAGTATTCTTTCATTCTTAGAGGTCCTTTTTTTCTCTCTGTGCCTCAGCTTTTTTTTATTCCTCTTCTCTGGTTTCTATTTAATTTATCATCTCCTCCACTGTGTCCAATCTGCTTTTAATACCCTCCATTGTGTTTCTCAACAATTGGATCTCTGTCCTAAATTCATTCCTGAGTTCTTGAATATTTTTCTGTACCTCCAGGAGCATGTTTATGACTTTTATTTTGAGATCTCTTTCAGGAAGATTGATTAGTTCAGTATCACTCGAGCCTTTTTCTGGTGTTGTTAAGATTTTGGTTTGAACCACGTTCCTTTGATGTTTCATATTTGTATGTGGCGCCCTCTAGTGCCCAGAAGCTCTACTGTTTGGAGCTGCTGAGCCCCTGGAGTGATGTCAGAGTCGCAGGGAAGTGGTGCTGGTGCCTGGGGGTAGGCAAGAGCTTTTTCCTTCTTCCTGGCTGCTATGCCTGTCTCCACTGCCAGAACCAGTGGGCCAAACACACAGGTGTAAGCCTCTATGCTTTGTGTCTGTAGCTGCTGTAGGCGGGGCTTCCCTGTGGCTGGCCTGATGCCAGGGCAGGGTTTGCCGGTTTGTGAGCCAGGTGCGGGCTGGCTGGGAGGAAGGCACAGCAGGCTGCATATCACGGTGGGGGGCCTTGGAGCTGTGTAGCCAACCAGGGGGATGGAGTACCTCAAGATAGTTTAAGCTCCCAACCTGCTGGGCAGTGTGCACCCGGACAATTTTGTCTACCTGTCCTTTCTCCTGAGCAGTAAGCTCTGTGCAATCTTGCCCCTTTAGCAGCCCTCTCGCTGTTAGGAAGTCTCTCAGACTGCCCATGCAGAGCAGCTGGATATGGATCCCTGTTTTCCACAAGCAGCTGGAATCTCAGTCTCTCCAAGTATTCTGCCTCTGTCTTAGCTTTCCAACCCCACTAATCACCAGAGCACCATGCAATGTAGGTTCATGCTCCCAGAGCAGATCTCCAGGGCTAGGTTTTCAGCAGTCCCAGCCTTCCACTCCCTCCCTGTTCCGTTTCTCTTCTGCTGGTCAGCCAGGGTGGGGGAAGGGCTTGGGTCCCACTGCATCATGGCTTTGGTACGTTACCCTGTTTCGTGAGGTCTGCTCTTTTCTCCAGGTGTATGCAGTCTGGCACTGCCTTCTTTCCTGTTGCTCTTTCAGAATCAGTCATATTAATTATATTTTCGTATTATATGTGGTTTTACAAGGAGGTCTCTGTCTCACCTCTCATGCTGCCCGCCATCTTTAATCTCTCTCTTTTCTCTGTATTTTATACATGTCAAATAAAGGCTGAAAGAGGTTAGCTTTATAATGTTTTTTCTTTAGGTTAGAGGATGTTGAGCTGGAGTGGTGTCTGAATTAGAAGAGGAGTGACTATCCCCTAGAGATGGCTCAAATGAGTGGTGCAACTTTTGGTCTCCTGTTTTAAGGAATGGTTTTCAGTTTGCAGGAGGGAGAGCAGCTTTATTGTGGTGGGAAGAAGCTGTTACTGCTATAGTAAGTTTCTTTTGTGCACAGGCTGTGTGTGGATATTGAACAGGTAGAGGGGGCGTACTGTGCTGGATATGTGGTGTCTCTTTCAACTTGTAGTTCATTGTATTTGGAAAGGTGGGAATGTTAAACAAGATAATTCACATTGCCTCTGGAATCTTGATTTCTAGATGCAAATTAAGTTGGATTAGTTGGACAACAAATGAACCCTGTCATACAAAAGAGTAATTTCCGTGGAAATTTTGGATGTAAGGTAGCAAGCAGGCTGACAAGTATCTTTGCCCGTCACAGAAATGATGCGACATTTGTTTCTTCCAAGTGGAAATTCCCAGTGAGAGACATCACACCGAGAGTTGACCAGAGAGCAGCAAGCCTCCCACGGATTAGCATCCTGGGTGCTGCCCCTAACTTTATACATCAGTGCTTTCCTGTGTTCAGAGTGTGTTCGCAAAGGGCAGAGGGTGGGGCTTCGAAAGATGGCGCAGAGGGTCCTGGCCCCTGTCTGCTGATTCCCTAGCTGTGTGGTTCCCGTTTCTGAAAGTTTTACTCAGGTGCCTGAGCTAGTGATAAGGCCCTTTTTGAGAGGGGGGTTTGTGCGGATCCCGTGAGATCACGCCAGGCAAGTGCTTAGCATAATAAGGGGCACTGAAGGGGAGCTCAGCGGACGTTCGGCGTGCCTCGTTACTGCACGCGGACCTGCAACTGAGTGTGAGACCCGTCTTTTAAGACCTCAGCGTCCAGGAGAACGCCCACAGCATGTGTACGTCTCCACCTTTCAAATTCGGCCGGTTCGGGTTCCGGAGGACGTTCCAACAGTTTTGCAGCCGCGCTTATCGCCGGAGACAATGGTCTTGGGGGAGTGGCCGAGAGCGCCCTTCCTCCGCCGGCGGCTGAGTGCGGCGGCCAAGTCCGAGGGAGCTGCCCCGCCTCCTCCCCGCTGTCCCGCTCGCAGGTGCGGGGCCTCGGCTTGGCTGCGGGGGCTCGGAGGCCGGGGAGCAGCCCTGCTGCTCTGACTCGAAGGGGCTTCCCGGGCCCCGCCACCCGCCTCTCGCGCCGGCTCGGCCGCGGGCGGTGGCGCCCGTCCACCCAGGGGGCCGCGGCGGCCGGAGGCGGGGGTCTCGCGGCCGCTCGGGGCGGCGCTGGGCGGGCGGCGCTGGGCCCGCCCCGCCGGCATCCCCGGCCCGACTTCCTCCTGCCTCGGCCGGCCCAGCTGGAGGAAGCGGCGGTGGCGGCGCGACCATGAGCGCGGGCGACGCGGTGTGCACAGGCTGGCTCGTCAAGTCGCCCCCCGAGAGGAAGCTGCAGCGCTACGTGAGTACCGCCCGCGCCCCTCGGGGACCCGCGCGCCGGAGCCTTGGCTGCTGGCGGGGTTGACAGCCGGGACGAAATCGCTCCGTCGAGCCCGCTCGCCGCTGTGCGCAGCAGCCGGCCGGGACCCAGGGGCCCTGCCCCGCCGCTGGCCCTCGAGGTGCAAGAGCGGCCAGGAAGACGTGGCGAAAGCGGGGCTGGCCCAGAGCCCCGTGCCTGGCGAGGAGGGCAGGGCAGGGCAGCGCAGGGGAGAGGGCAGGGGGCCGCGGGACGGGGCCTGCCCGGAACAGGCGGGCAGGGAGGCTCCAGCACTGCCCTGGGTCCGCCAGGAGTACTCTCTCGTGTGCCTGTCATTGGACAGTGCAGTCTGGAGCCTTCCACAGACTGCACCTTGTTTCTCCTGGTGTCGCTTCTCAGCTTTTACCTTATGCCGACACCGTCAGGAACGAAGGACTTGTGCCAGTGTGAACTAAGGGACGCTGGGAAGCGCGCATCTGCCTGCACGACCCATTACCCTGGGAAATGTACTACCAACAGCTCAAATGTTTCTGAGCTCCATCAGTCCCCTCAGGATCGGGTCTTAAAACATTCCGCCCAAAGACCTGGTAGTTACAGAGAGTTCCGCAGACGTTAAGAATAGTCACTCCAGCCCTCAGGGAGTTAGTTGCATATAAATAGATAGTAGGGCTTGATTTTTTTAGGCTGGGAGTAGCTTGATGGATCCACGTTGTTCTTAATTCCTGATTTCTCGGCAAACGCTGAGCACAAGGGTAGGAAAAGAAAGGCACCCACGTGGGCCCCGCTACAGAACAGCCCACCCCCAAAGGGCGGTGCTCTTGGGGAGAGCATGCTCCCAAACTGCTGTGCACCTCTAGGCCAAAGTTCACCACTGTTTCTGTTCCCACATTTATGAGGCACATTCTGCGTGAAAGTGGAGAAGGTGGGATAGTAAGAAGACTTTACTTCCACAATGTGTAAGTACTTTCACATGATGGGACAGGAGCTTTTCCTGACCATACAGATACTCAGGGCCCCTTTCCCCATTTACTCTGGACTACGCAGGATCACTCTCATAGGACTCTCTGGGAAGATTTTTGTTTGTTCTGGTGAGCAACATTTTACATGCACATTATGCTACTTACCATGGAGGTGTCAGAGGTCTATACATAGTGACAATTTTCAGAGTAACTGCCAGTGTGTCCCTTCATCATTTTTTTTTGAGTCCCCAAGTCCGTAAACACAAGGTACAATGAAGTGCTTTGAAGACGTCTTGATACTCAAAGGAGGTGAGGGAAAAAAACCCACTCGCCATGATCTGCACGGGTGGGTAAGGGTTTGTTTCACAGGGGTACTTCCGAGGACAGTGCAAAGTGGCTTTCCTTGTTGCCCTGTGGAATGTGAGACATTTTCAGGGTTCACCAGATATTTGCAGAGTGGCACTCACTTTTCAGTAGATAACTCAGAAAGATGGTGCATCTGGAGGGCAAAGTTTGTGGCAGATTTTTTTCCCAATCCTGTTTTGTTTCTTGTTCCGACCACACTGGTTTAGTAAAGTTTTTAGCACTTCATCAACCTTGAAAAGGCATGGGTGTTATATACCTATTACCATACATGGTTCATTCTTTTTTGGTGACAGGAAAGTGTGGCAAGTGTGAACTTTGCACTAACACGTGTGTAGGACGTGCAATGGTACAGTGGTGATGACAGCAGTTGAAGAGACAAGAGTACCTAGATATCATCTTGCCAACACTCCAAGACATAAACCTTGAACTTTTAGTCCATGGTTGGTTGGGAACTTTTTCTGAGGGTCATAGTCATTGAGACAGTCAATGCTCCTGTTGAAAGGTGTTGAAACACACGACAAAAACTCCGTTTCTTCTCATTTCTAAGTTCTGCAGGAATCCTTTGGTGCCACTAGATGGCAACCACATGTCGGTTCAATGGGGCACGAACCTTAAACACAGTTCTTGGCAGGAAGTTTTTCCTTCTGCCCTTTAAATTGAGCGCCAATTCTGACCCAGGCTTTGAGTCACGGGGCTAGATAGACAGACAAGACTTAATCCCTGTCCTTTTGAAGTCCATGGTCTAACGTTTGTAGTGTGAGATGTTACAGGGCAGTAATCATTTGTTAGCACTGCCAGGCCAACTAGCAACACTCCATTGTTTGTTATTAGATTACAAATGGAAGCTGAATCTGGTTTTAGGGTAAATATTTCAGTCCAAGGTAAGCTTGTGCTTCATCCTCCTGAGTCCATGAGCCAAGGCAAGAAGAAAGTTATTTTTATGATTGCTCTTGTAAAAGGTAGTTGATTGCTTTCTTTTGTAATTGTTGTTTCACAAATAATATAGTGGTATATTCTTGTAAAAAATGAAATGATCTAGGAATGAATAGAATAAAAAGTGAAAGGCCCCCTTTAACTCTCCCCCACATCTAACCCTTTCTGTGTACCCCTCCTCCCTGCACTTCCCTTCCTACAGATAACTGTTGTTACCATTTTGGTGAGTATCATTCTAGAAAAATTTCTACTGAAGATAAAGTTGTGTTTTTGCACAAATGAGAACATACTGTACAAATTGTCCTGTGATTTGCTTTCAAAAACTAAAATCAAAAAAACAGGATTTGTAACAATCCTGGACATCTTTCCAGGTTAGTATATACAGACTTCATTCTTTTAAGCCATTGCCTAATATTCCTTGTAACAGATGTAACACTTTAACAATTTCTCTGTTGAGCATTTGTGTTGCTTTTATTTTCTCTGTTTTAAAGAATGCTGTAACAGCAGTAATAATAAAATTATAAATAATAATTCACATTTATTGAATGGTTGTATGTGCCAGGCACTAAACTAAGGACTTGACTTGTTCATTTAGTCTTCAAAATGACACTAAGAGTCAGGTACTGTTTTCATCTCTGGATGCAAGTTGGATATATAATTTGCAAATATTTTCTACTAGGCTATAGTTTGACTTTTCATTCTCTTTTACAGTATCATTGTGGAACAAAAATTTTAATATTTTGATTAAATCCAATTCATCAATTTTTCTTTTATGGATCATGCTTTTAGTGTCAAATCTAAGAACTCTTCACCTAATCCTCAATCTTGAAGATTTTCTCTCCTGTTTTTTTTTCTAAAGGTTTTATAGTTTTACATTTTATATTTAGATCAGTGATCTATTTGAGTTAAATTTTGTAAAAGGTGTGAGGTTATGCTGTGGTTCATGGTCTTGCAAACTGATTCCATTTGTTCCAGTACCATAGATTGTCCTTACTGAATTACTTTTGCAACTTTGTTAAAAATCGATTGGTCATATTTATATAGGTCTATTTCTGTGTTCTCTAGTCTCTTCCATTGATACTTGTTCATCTTTATGCTAATAGCATGCTGTTTTGATAGCAATAGCTTTATAACAATTCTTGAAATTAGGCAGTTTTAGCCTCCAAATTTGTTTTTCTTTTCAGAGTTGTTTCTTTTCAGGCTATTCTAGGTCCTTTGCCTATCCATATCAGTTTTAGAATTAGTTTGTCAATGTACTTTTGCACATTAACCTTGCATCCTGCAATCTTGCTAAACTCACATATTTGTTCTAGTAGTCTTGTTTCTAGTTAGAACCAGCTGTACTATCAATGTTACATAGAAATGATGAGAGCAGACGTCCTAGACTTTTTCCTGATACTAGGGGAAAAACATTTCGTCTTTCACCTTTTAAGTATGTTAGCTGTAGGCTTTTTGTGACAGTGCCTTTTATCAAGTCAAGGAAGTACACTTGTATTGCTACTTTGCTGAGATTTTTTTTTTGTGAACTGGATTTTGTTAAATGCCTTTCCTGAGTCTATAAAAGTAATAGTATGCTTTTTCTTTTTTTGTCTGTGACTCTGGTAAATTATTCTGATTGATTTTTGCATGTTAAGCCAGCCTTGAATTCCTGGCATAAACTTCACTTGGTTGTGATATTTCATCCTTTTCATATATTGCTGGATTTAATTGCTAATATCTTGCTAAGGATATTTGTGTCCTTGTCCGTGAGTGATATTGGTCTATGATTTTCCTTTTTTGTACTGTTGTCTTTGTCTGATATTTTGATATTAACATAATGCTAGCCTCATAAAATGAATTAGGAAGTATTCCCCCCTCTTCTATTTTCTGAAAGATATACTATAGAACTGGTATTCCTTCCTCCCTAAATGTTTGGCAAAATTCACTGTTGAAGCCATCTGGTCCTGGACTTCTTTCTGTGGGATGGTTAAGTACAAATTCTATTTCTTTAACAGAAATAGGGCTATTCAGGTTATGCATGTCTTCTTGAATGAACTTTGGCAGTTGATGTTTTTCAATTATTTTCTCTTCTCTATTTCATCCAAGTTCTTGAATTTATTGCCATAAATTTGTTCATTATATTCCTATTATCCTTTTAATGTCTGTAGGATCTGTAGTCATATTCCTTTTTCATTTATGATTTTGTAATTTATTTTATCTCTATTTTTTCCTGATTAGACTGGCTAGAGTATTATCAGTTTTACTGATATTTTCTATGAGCGTGCCTTTGGTGTCATTGGTTTTCTCTATTGTTTTTTTGCTGTCAATTTCATTGACTTATCCTCTTATCTTTACTATTTATTTTCCTCTGATTGCTTTGGGTTTAGTTTTATTTCTTCTTTATCTAGTTTCTTAAGGCAGAAGCTTAATTATTTATTTGAGATCTTAATATTTTCTAATATAAGCATTTAATGCTGTAAACTTCCCTCTAAGCATTGCTTTAGGTGCATGCCACAAAGCTTGATATGCTGTGTTTCACTTTCACTCATTTCAAAATATTCCTTAATAGCCCACTGAGATTCCTTCTTTGATCCAAGGATTGTTTAGAAGTTTTTCCAAATAGTGGAGAATTTTCTAGATACCATTCTATATTTTTCTAGTTAAATTCCATTATGGTCTAACAGCAAACTCTGTATGAGTTCTGTTCTTTAAAATTTGTTGAGTTTATATTATGGCCCACCAAGTAGT